CCTCGGCAGCGACGCGGCGCCCATCAGGGACGCGTTTCTCACTCGGCTGCAGAGCAAGACCGAAGACATGAGGATCAAGGTTATGATCCTGGAGTTCCTCACCGTTGCCGTGGAAACCCAGCCTGGCCTCATCGAGCTTTTCCTCAACCTGGAAGTCAAAGACGGAAAGGAGGGGTCAAAGGTGAGAGCCGCAAGGGAACGGCGTTGGTCGGTTCGCAGCTTGTTTGTGGTGCTGCGTGTGGAATGGAGAAAAATGACGTTTTGTCTCTAGGAGTTTGTGCCGGGCGAGTGGAGCTGCCTCCACGTGGTGCTGGAGCTGATAGACTCCAAACAGCAGGGGAAATATTGGTGCCCCCCGCTGCTGCACCGCGCGGCCTTGGCCTTCCTCCTGGCCCTCTGGCAGGACCGCAGAGATAGCGCCATCTCTGTCTTACGCACCAAGTAAGCACAGGACGACTCGCTCTAACCCACGAAAACACGTGAGACTCGGACTAATGGAGTTTGATGAAAATATCTTTGCTTTTCACACACACACAGAGAGCGGTTTTGGGAGAATTTGACGACGCCTCTCTTTGGAACCCTCACTCCGCCCTCAGACACCAACGAGGTACTTTGCTCTTTTCTCCACGGCTATAACCATGATGCGTGCTTACGATGCCGGCTGTGTAGCTTAGAGAATTATATTTCCCTTCCAGCCTTGTGTTCTGGAGACGTGTGCTTTTGTCATGAAGATCATTGGCCTGGAGATCTACTACGTTGTCAGGTACATTCTGTAGTCCGCTATTTGTCACTTCATGGAGCTCTTATCTCCCATAAGTGATGCTAATTCTTTCTATGTGGTCAGCAGTGGTTCTTTGGGGCAGTCGCTGAAGGATGGGCTTCAGAAGTTTTCCAACGCACGGCGATACGAGTACTGGTCCCAGTATGTCAAGTCTCTGGTGTGCCACGTAGCCGAGATGGAGGAGGAAGGCATCTCTTCCTTCCCTGAGACCCAGATGTTGATCTCCGCCTGGCGGATGCTGCTGATTCTTTCCACAACCCACGTATGTCGCAGCAAACCGTCCTGGTTTAAAGACAGTTTAAAGTCATCTTTAAATGGACCACATGAATTTGCGATGGTTTGTTTTATGTTTCCAGTCCGATGTGATGCAGCTAACGGACGACTCGACCAAGCTGAAGCTTTTCATGGACGTCCTGGACGGGGCCAAAGCCGCCGTAAGTCATCAATTCTTTCCATGTCACTTTAGTATTTCTTCTCCTCTGTTCCCTTTTTACTCGCTAACTCTACGTGTCTCTTTCAGCTGACTACACCCATGTCCGTGTCTTGTCTTCGTCTTGGATCCATGATGACCACTCTACTCCTCATCCTCCTCAAGCAGTGGAGGAGGTGTGTATTCGTGATATTGACAAAGACATTTTATCCCGTCCTATAACCACTTGACTATTACCTTTGCTGTCTCGTTGTGTGCAGTGTGGTGGCGACCGCTCCCGACATCCTGTCTCCTCTCTCCCTGATCCTGGAGAGCGTCCTGCAAGCCGACCAGCAGATGATGGAGAGAACCAAAGCCAAGATCTTCTCTGCGCTCATTTCTGTGCTGCAGATTCAGGGACTTAACGGTAAGAGTGTGTCCCCTGTTGTCTGTCCTGGCATCGCATTCGAACGCGTCCCTGTTGTCCAGTCCCACTATTTGCTCTTTGCCAACTAGGTGGAGATATTTCCCAGCTGCCCCAGCTGCTGCTGTCTGTGTGTGAGACGGTGAAAGTCGAGGCCCTGGCGCTCATCGACAACACTCGTCACATGAGCCAGACGGGAGACCAAGCGGAGGACGAGGACAGCATGGAGACGGACTCTTTCCGCGGCCCACAGAAGGACCAGAGAGACGGGGTGAGCGTCGGCGTCTCCTCCCGTTCCAACCAATCAACATTTAGCCTGCAGGAGGAACGGCTTTAAATAGTCCTTCACTACGAGGTGGATAATCTGTCAATCTTTTTCATGCATTTGCGGCATTGTGATCAGGTGTGTGTGCTGGCGCTGCACTTGGCGAAGGAGCTGTGTCGCACCGATGAGGACGGGGAGCATTGGGTCTCGGTGATGAGGAAGGTTCCGGTCCTGCCCTCGGTGCTCAGCGCCGTGGAACTCAGCCTGCGATCCAAACACAACCTCTACTTCACCGAGGCCGCTCTTCACCTGCTGCTCACGCTGGCCCGCACTCCGCAGGTAAACACGTACACCGTGTGTTCATCATTCCAGCCAATGAATGAGTGAAAAGACTTTTTGTCTCGGGCCAAAACATGTTTGCTTTGTCTGCAGAAATACATGTTTAATGTGATGTAGATCAGGCTGTGGATCCACAAACAACTCCTTTAATGTTTTTAAACCATCGGTGTTGTTGAGGGTGTCTTCTTTTGTCCTCCAGGGGGCGGCTGCCGTTGCCGGAGCCGGAGTCATCCAGACCATCTGCCTCCCTCTGCTGAGCGTCTACGAGGTGACTTCAAACGGAGCATCGCAGGTAAGAAACACCTTTCTGCCTCTATCATCACGTGGCTTTGCTTCCATTACACATACGAAGCACCGCATTGACGTCTTACAATCCGTCCTGGTCTCTGAGCAGAGTTTCTCCCGGAGGTCCCAGGACTCCGCCTGCTGGCCGGGAGTTTACCGCCTCTGTATGTCTTTGATGGAGAGTTTGCTCAAGACGCTGCGCTACAACTTCATCAATGACGCGCTGGACTTTGTCGGAGTCCATCAAGAACGCATACTACAGGTACGCAGTGGTCCAACCCACGACCATAAAAGACCCAAACCTTTTTTAAATTGCAAAAAAATGTTTTATCATCACAATGGTTGCTGTTCTTTTGTATATCGCTCTGCATTCTTTCTCAGTGTCTGAATGCGGTGCGGACGGTGCAGAGCCTCTCCTGTTTGGACGAGGCCGATCACACCGTCGGTTTCCTGCTGCAGCTCTCCAGCTTCTGTAAGGAGTGGCAGTTCCACCTGCCCGAACTGCTCAGAGATGTGCAGGTAAGTCCAGAGGGAAGCTGCTCATCGGCTGCACTGGTGCCGCAGCCCCAGTGACACTTCAGTATGCATCTCCCTGTCTCCTCGCTGCAGGTGAACCTGTGTTATCTGTGTCAGACCTGCACGTATCTGCTCCACAGCAAGAAGATGCTGCATCACTACCTCCAGGTCGGAAAGCACCGCTTTGTACGATCTGATAATCACAACATTTCTGCTTTTGATTTCTAACCAACAATGAGCAGCCAAGAAAAACCGACTGTTTCTTTATTCAGGCTTTGTTTTCTTCTGGATCTTTTTAGGCTAAAAACGGAGAAGCGTTGCCTCCCGTTCCCCTCCCCAGGGCTCAGCGAGCCCCCCAAACCCCGTCCAAAGAAGCAGCGGGTGGAGGCGAGAGGGAAGAGGCCGAGCAGAAGGCCTTGTTGGCGGTGCAGTGCAGCCTCGTGAAGATTCTCAGCAAAACCCTGGCGACTGTGCAGCACTTCACTCCGGACTGCTGCCAGATTCTGCTGGACCAGGTCGGCTAAATGGCTCTCATGAGTAATATTTCCCTCAGTGTGCCATGTTTCCGTGTTCACATCTGTGCATAAGAGACAACAAGAGGCTGATCTGTGCTCTCTGCCCGTGCGTCACAGACTATGGACCTGGCAGAGTACCGGAACCTGTTTGTGCTCAGCTTCACGACTCCGGCGTTTGACCCCGACGTGGCTCCGTCGTTTGGAACCCTGCTGGCCACCATCAACGTGGCGCTGAGCATGCTGAGCGAGGTACGGGTTCAATGCCCACGTAGTAGCTTGCGGTCCCGCTGCAGCAGGTCCCTCACTGTTTTTTTTTTTCTTTGCTCTTATTTTCATAGATGGAGAAGAAGAAAGAGCCGGTTTCCATGAGCATAGCGTCACTGGCCTCATCAGAGGAGATCCAGGCGCTCAAGTGAGTCCACTTTCCATGATGTTGTTTGTTTATTAACTATAAACGTTTGTATTTACCTTCAGACTGAGCCAGAGCTTCCTTATTTTGCTACAGAGTTATTTGTTTACGTTTTTTGTTCTCCCTTCAGGTCTTTACTGATGTTCACCATGGAAAACTGTTTCTACGTGCTGATCTCTCAGGCTGTTCGATGTCTCAAAGACCCCTCCATCCTCCCCCGGGACCAACAGAGACTCAAACAGGAGCTCAGCTCGGAACTGGTGAGATGTCGTTTTGAGTATTGACCATAAAGGACACAAACACAATAGCGCCCTCGACATATCCGTTTGTAAAGATCTATTAAACGTGATGCCATTTCTTTCTTCTTCCACCATCAGAGCACTTTACTCTCGAGCCTTTCCCGCCACTTCCGCCGGGGCTCCCCATCGTCTCCCGCCAGCGGCATCCTCCCCTCCTCCCAATCCAAGCCCCCCACGCCGGGCTCCAAGGGCAGTCACGAGGGCCAGGAGCCGTTAATCCAGCTGGTTCAGGCCTTCGTGAGACTCGTCCAGAGGTGAACGCAGATCTTCCGACACCAGTTCCCCCACCAGAGAGGATTTATATGAACAGTCTCTGCAGTAGTTAAAGTGTGACTGTTTATTGATGATCGGGGCCATAATTAGCGGTTCGGCTCGTCAAACATGACGTGATCACAGCCAAAGTGTTTACTTTAAGAGGATTGTAAAGACCAACTTGTATTATGAAGAGACCTTGGTGCTACTAGAACATCAGTCACGGACTGGTTTTATCTCTGCGAGGCCTAGTTTTATAGGTCACTATGGTGATACGCAACGACCAGACATGTTTCAAGTGCTACTTAAAAAAAATAAGACCTTCAAATATCATTTTCTCATTGTTCTATGAAGCTCCATTGTACTTTTTCTAATCCTCATTTTCACTAAATCTTGTTCTGAACTTTCTTATCTGTGCTCATCCATGTACACATTTTGAAGCAGCAACCAAGATTTGTACTTAAAAACAAATGTATATGCTAATAAAAGGGACTTTTGTACCACAATTGGGTTTCATCAACATTTTCTTTCTTTGCAACATTTTAAAATAATTCACTGTACATGTAGTCTCAATCCAATACATTAACGGACAGACACAATATAATTAGTATTTTCTCTAAAAACTAAACTTTTCCAACTTCAGAATGTAAAATAAAGGCAGAGCCAAAAGGCCTTTGACAGACTGTTTTTCTACAGGGACGGCTGGCCTTTTCGCTTGTTTATAAATCCCACTGTAAAAGGGGTCAATTTGAAGGTTTACTGCTCCAAAGCGCAACCCCATAGTACTGTTTAATGACTAAATTTACCAAAACTCTGTTACAACTTTTCTAACTCACTTAACTTTTAGAAGGGACTTAAAAACAAATTAGATTCTAATTAAGGCACTTCCATAGTTACATTATTTTCTTTACTGCATATGCACATGATTCACTGAAGTCCAGAACCATCCAATACACAAACTGATGGAAACAAACATTTTCATGTTCTTCTATGCATAGTATAAAAACAATAAAGGAAAGTGTTTAAATCGCCGTAATCACTATTTACAAAGGCATTTTCTTAAAAAACTAACAACTCCAGTACCTAAAATGAATGCAGCTATATGCAGGTCAGGTGTACAAAAGGTGACGTCTTCAGGACCGGCGGGACCGCCGGTGGGATGAGGGCCGACGGACAATCACAAACTATATTATTAAAAAGCAGCATGCGGCATCGAAACGGCACATTTAGTAGCTGCAGCGCGGAGAGGCGTCCCTGCTGACGTCCTCTGAGGAGTGTCTGCCTGCTGCTCCTCGAGGGACAGGAACAGGTCGAGGCTCTGCAGCGCCCCCTACTGGCCATTGAGCGGCACCTCCTGAAACAAAACAAGTCATGTAACGACACAACGTTCAGATCGGTGGCCTCACATGCAGGGGGAAGCTGGTGCTGAACGCATGTATGTGAGCGATGTGTACATACATTCCTTTTTTTTCCATTTACATGCATCTGACAACGCGTTTTAAAGGAATAGTTTGACATTTTGGAAATTCTTTCTGAAGCGATGATACACTCATCAGCTGTGAGAGCAGAACTTCTGGCAAGAAAGCATCAAAGAAACATTTTCCTAAATGCTGAACTATTTCTTTAAAGTAGAAAAAGCTCATCATGGATGCAGATTTTTCCCACAGTCACAGGAGTTTATGTGGATTTCCTTTTAATTGAGGACATCACCTGATGTTTCATATTACCTTTTATCAAAGTTCAGATGTGTTGTTCAAATACTGTCATACAAGTACACGTAGTGAAAGTCTCACACTTATTAGAAGACCAAATTGATACATAGTAACCTAGTTAAAGGGTGTATGTGCAGTAAGAAAGGGACCCTCTGTCATTACAGTGATTAAGCTTTAATACTCCCACATGCTGTAGGAACTAAACGTTTCACTGTTTATACTTCAGACAGTGTTTAATAGTGATGAACTGACAAACTTATTTTAATAAGTGTCAGTTTATCACTGTGAATCATGTTCTTAAATAACATCTACTTTTTAGTAATTGATTATAAAATCTTTAATAGCATAACTGGTGCACTTCTAATGAATCAAGACCAGATTAAATCTCACATTTAAAGATATTGAACTTATTGCTGTGTCACAATCATATCAGAGTCTCTATTGGCCCGATGCTAATGTGGGCGGGAGTAATAGACCAAGTTTGTTGTTTCATTGGCTGAAGTGTACTTTTTAACCAGTGCCACGGACGCACTTTGAGAATAACTCGTCATGGGGAACATGACGCGTCTCTCCTGATAAATCTTGGGTGGATCATCGTGTGCTTTGCAGTTCATACAGCGTCCAAAGCTGTTGTGAACCCACTAAACTGGAAAAATCTGCGTGTCTCATAATACATTAATATTATCCACTTCATGCGATGGATAAAACCAAATCTTCATGCAACGGCTCACTCTCAAAGGCTGCACCTCGTGCACACTGACCTTCGTCTGGTCCTCCAGACGGACCTTTCAGGTCAAAGAGGCTGCAGTAATTTGTCTATGGCGATGTCACACACACAGGACGAGAAGGAAAAGACGAGTGATTCACAGAAGGAGAATTCACCACTACGACCGACTGGTAGTTTGCTTTTTAATAACTGGGGCGTGTTTTTGTTGGTGGACTCACCTCTAAATTCCCTCTGGCTTTCTTCAACACCCCGTGGGTGAGATACACTAGAGGGAGGAAGAGTAATCCACGATAAGTTACCACTTTATTCACACAGAGACCTTTTCATTATCAAATAAAGTGAAGCTTCTTCACTCGTTCACAGTGCAGTGACGTCCTACGTGAAACAAGAGGAACGTACGCTGGTCGATGATGACTCTTTCCATTCCCTCCTTGAGCTGGTTGGTTGTCCGCAGGCGTTTAACGGCTCCACTCAGCATCCTCTCCTGCTGCGACAGCCTGCTCTTCAGCCGGGCGATCTCATTTTTAAGCAGCTCATCCTGATTTGGAGGATAAGAGGATGTGAGGCTCGGTTTCGTAGATGCTTCATTGCATATGGTGGACGTACAGCACACGTGTATCCGGGTACCTGCTGGTTGTTTGCAACGCCCCCTGCTGTGTGACCAGCTGGCAAAGAGACTCTCCAAACCAGCTTGAGCATCCGACCCGCCTCCTCTAGAACGTGCTGCATGCTGTTCATGCTGCCTGACAGGCTCTTTAGATGCTGCTGTTCGGTCACCTACGAAGACGGACAAATAACGGCACGAGCAATGACCGTGAATATCAATTTTACGCACTGTGGAAATACAAAAACAGTAGTGCCTTTTGGATTTCATCTGTTTTTACAAACAAACTAAACACGGCAGCGGCGCCCGGCACCTTGTTGTCGGACGGCTGCTGTTTGAGTGCGTGCAGACTCTCCTGCAGCTGCTTGTCCATGCAGCGCGACAGCCTGCGGCCCTCTGAGATCTGCTTGCGGAGGGCGTTGTAGTCCTCGATCAGACCCAAAATATGCCGCCCGTTGCGATTGGCCCACATCCGGTGGCCCGGCACCAAGCGGGGGGGAGCGCTGGAGACGCTGTCCCCGGAGCTGCTGCTGAATGAGACCTCCTCTGAGTGAGCACGGCCTTTCTCATCTGAAAAGGCGTTTTGTTGTACCGTTAATTCAACACAAGGGGTGGGCTCGTAGTTATTGATGTGCAATTGAACCCGGTGCCGTCGTGGTTTTCCTACCAGCGAGGACGCCGGTGTGTTCGCCGTGACTCTGGAACGAGTGACGGAGGAGGTCGCAGCCTTCACGACCTGGTGACCTGCCTCCTTCATCTAAGACAAAGGTAAAAGGAAAGCGATGTGAGCTGGCAGACTGGTGTGTGTGTGTGTGTGTGTGTGAGAGACTGCGCCTAATGCTCACCTGGAGAGGACAGCAGGTAGTTGATGTTAATGGTCTCAGAGCGGTTGGGTCCTCTGAGCAGCTGCTCCTCCAGCCTCTGTCGCAGTGCCGTATTGGTCTGGATGCTCCTCTCCAGCTGCAGCCTCAGGTGTCTGATCTCCATCAGCAGCTCGCTCAGGTCCAGTGTGCCAGAAGGCAGCTCCCGGGCCGCCTCGCTGGACTCTGATCAGAGGGAGAATGAAGGAGAGGGAAACTCATTGGATGTTGTTACAGGAAACGGAAGGAAACTGGAACAGGACGGCATGTAGCATTCAGTAGCTGTCAATCAAACAGAGATATCAATGGTTCTCTCTTGATTTAAAGGAATTAAGTTAAAGGAAAAATATGTATGTTGTATAAAGTATGTTGTATGTTGATTGGATTTCAATATTCATCTCTGTGTGATAAGAACCTTGTCAAACAAGAAATGAGCATCTTTCAATCTGTCACTCATGTCAATGCACCAAAACTTCATATAAACAAATTTAAGTGCAATAGAACTTAAAAGAAAATCATCATTTTGTCCTGAAGAATGTTGTTTAGTCACTCTTTGTCAACAACAATTTTAACTGCATAATGCATCAATAGGCTCGTTCCCCCCAAAAAAGGAAGCAACAATTACCATTTTGTTTGTGATTTTCAGTCTTGATCTTTTCATAAACTTGCAGCTCCACCCGCAGCGACTGCAGAAGCTGCTGGGAGTCGGACAGCTGCTGCACCTGCAGCTTCGCCTCACACTGCAACCTGCAAGCACACCAAAGGATTTACATCTACCTGCTAAGGGGGAAGAGAGAGGATGGATAAAACAACTGAAATACGTTTCAGCAGCAGTAGTATTTGTTTGACTCCTAAAAAAACAAAAACAACAAGCCTCCTAAATATTGTGCACCAATCTGCAGAACCACACACTAAAGAGTCAGAGGTACGGAAAGCGAGAAGAGATCTGACAGCCGACTTGACTCCAGGTTTCGGGTGTCCTCCTCACTCATCTGTCTCAGTAAGAGCCAGTGCACGAGGTCACATACCATCACTATGGTATGCATGCATTGGAATGAGTAGAGTAGTAATGATAGTATGTGTGTACAGCAAGGCGACATTTAGGATTGTGTGTGTGTGTGTGTGTACCTGTGCACGGACTCCTGCAGATGGGAGTTCTCTTGGCCGCTGTGCTCCAGCCTCTCCTGCAGTTGGTTGTTTTCTTGCATCAGGGCTGCACACTCTCTCCTGCTCTGCTCCAGTTTGGCCGTCCTCCTGGCCAGAGTCTCCCGCAGCTTCTCGCGCTCCTTCTGCTTGTCTGCAGAAAAACAAAAGCATTTTAAAGTCGTTTAAACGTTGATACTTTTGTGGAAAGTATTTTAAAGCAGAGTCAGAGATGGATGTCAAGACAATGATTCTCTCTATTGTCTAAAAAGAAGAAGAAGTGTTCTTACCTTTGGACATCATGCTGAGCTGCTCATTGAGGACTTTGTTTTGTCCCCAGAGGAGACGCACCTCACTAGCCAGCTGACCCTGCTCCTCGTTACCGTGGATGAAGATGTTGGTGGCTGCTAAACGTGGTAACACACACACAGAATTTTACAACCAAACTAATGGCAGTCCGACCGTAAAAATCACTGCGAGACGATTTGAGGCGTGTACCTGGATCTTTCTCCACCTCTGCTAGTCTCTTCTCCAGCTGCTCCCGGAGACGGTCGTTGGTGTTGATGCTCTCTTCCAGGCGCTGTCGCAGCACGCGGATCTCCTGCAGATGTTCTGCCAGCGAGTCTGACGGACACACATGCAGAAAGATAAAACTACAAAAGACCCTGCATTTCCCATAATGCAACACCACACGTTTGTGAGACAGACTTTCTGGTAGAAATATGTCTTCTCCAAACCCAAGGCCATTTCAACCCGATGACATCACTGACATCATTTGGCTCCTCCCCATCCCCAAAATACACAACACAACTGTTTTCACTTGCTGCAAAGTCCTTCCATGAAAATTTCCAATGATCTTAAATAAATAATTCAGCAAATGCTTTTCCCCATGAAGATTTAAAGCACAAACCATTTATCTTCAAATAACCAAAACCTGAATGTCTGAATGTGACCATCACCGTTGTTGTTGTTGTGTATTGTAAGATGGAGTCGGATGGACTCCACCTTTGCCACATGTTTACCTGCGTCCATGGAGCGAGGCTGTTCTGCAGCGTTCTTGTGCGAGCCAACGTCGCCTTCTCGTCTGCGGGTGCGAGGCGTTGACGCATCCTGGTCCTGAGCCCGTTCCTGATGGCGGGCGCTGGTCTGGGCCATAATGGAACGGTGCAGGTCGAGTTCACTTCGCAGGGTGGTGTTGAGCTCCTCGCTGCCCCTCAGCTGATCCTGCAGCCGCCCGTTTTCCCTCCGCAGGTCCCGCAGGTGGCAGACAGCGTCCGGGTGAGCGGACACAGCGTCCCCGTGGGCTCCTCCTACAGGAGGGACATCCGCTCCTGTCCAATCAGAACGGTGTCGCTGGCCTAAACGAGCAACAGATGAATAGATATTAGAATCGAATAGCGTAGATTGTTGTGATGATTTATAGTCTTTTGTTTTTACCTTCATTTTGTGAGAGGCGGATCAATCGCTTATTAAACCCATAAATAAAACTACAGAAGAGGAACCACTGAAACGTAAATAGCCAACCAGGGGGGGCATTGATAGTAAATTTGGGTCCACAGCCTCCTCTCACATATCCACATGCTTCCCTTGTCTCAGTAATAGTCTTTCCTGTCTCTTTTCCCAGGGAAACCCAAGTTGAGGATTAAACCGGATAGGTGCCACTGAATAATGCAACTTCAAGTGGAGGGGAACTGAAAGCGGACACCTGCTCTGCCCTCGGCCGGCGCGCTTTGTCCCGCGGGACGCCTCACTGCAACACAATGGATCTGAGTGGAAAATAAGTGCCATCCTGGTATAAGGTAATCTCAACGCTATACCGCAAATATGTAACCAAGCAAACCGTGGTAAAAGAACAGCCTAGTGGACTATTTCTGGCCCGGTCTGCACCTCACGTGGACACAACGTTGCGCTTACTCTCGGCTTGATGTCCACTCTGCGTGGTCGAGCTGCTGTGGCAGGAGGAGGACGTCCCGTCTGAGTGGCACAGATCAGAGTGAGAGCTGTGTTGGCTGAGGGGGCCGTCGTCTCTCAACTGGCTCTGCAGATCCTGGATCAGACGGTTCTTCTCCTGCAGCTCCTTTGTCAACCTGGGAGAAGGAGAGGGACGCGCAGCCATGTTGGTCACTTGGTCCCCCACAGTATGCAACAGCTGGACCCGACCGTCACATCGCCCCGCTGATGGGAGATAATTACACAGCATCCAATGAAAGAGTCCCAAACCGGGGCTGAGGGTGTTCCTAGAGGACTTGCAGCTTTTAGCAGAAACACGCAGCTGGGAAAAAGGAGTTCACAGCAAAGGTCATGCTGTCTGTGTGGATCAAACCCGCTCACAGGTGCAGCTGCTCCCTGGCGCACTCAGCCAGCGTGAGGTTCTGCCGGACCAGGAGGCCGATGTGCCGCCGCAGCAGCTCTCTCTCGCCCTCTAGCTCCAGACGCAGATTATCTAAATCCAGCTGGATTCTATCCGGACTGTCAGGAGGATTTCTAAGGCTCTCCTCACAGGGCAGCAGCGACTGGGATCTCCGCGGAGGCTCCCTAAGACTTCCACATCAGTAATAATACAGAATAACCTCTGTCACAATGAGCGACTTTCATTGCTGATGGTACAAAAAGCGCTGTGAAAACGTCCACAGCGAATGAAGAAATGTTAAACCACTTTGCAACCATTTTACTGCGAACCCCAAACTGCAACGATTTTTGTTCGTACATTTTTTTTTAAGCTTTGAAAGCGTTCTGGATTCCCATTGACACAAAGTGAATGCGTGGGTTTCTTTTCTGTCTCACAGACATTGGTGACCCAGTTAGGGGGAAGTGTAACCTTAATGTTTGGGCTGTCAATGACAAAATCAGGTCAACAGCAGGACACTATTCAAAACCAATTACCAACGCACTGCCTGGGGTCATAAGGCACTCGGCTGGGGGGAGGTCTGTAAAAGGGTCATGAGACAAACAGCACAGCTAACTGCCCTTAAATCCCAAACACAGTACAATGGACAATATGACCATAAAAAAATAAAATAAAAAAAACAGCCCAGAGGAAAAATGTCAAAACGGTCAAAGGCTCATTAACTGCTTTGGAAACAATAAACGTGTATCCCAAGATGTCGAACCATGCCTCTAAGCATGAGGGATTGTAGATATTACAGGACCGTGTCTTTTTTAACCACAAATAAAACGTGACAACTTGAGTATGAGCAAATGAAATAAGACGTGGACAATCAGCGCGTGCAGTGTGAGAGTTTGAGACGCACCTCCGAGACAGTTCCAGGGCCGCCGCGTCCTCATTAGCCACACGAGACTCTCCTAGCACAGAGAGAAAAGATGCTGTCAAGGGCCTGTCGGTAAAGATCAGATACGGGTGGCTGCTCGTTTGTGGACACGTCTCTCTGCCTCTTTGTCAAAGCGCCGAGACATTTCTGCACAAAAGATAGAAGACTGAAGCCCAGCTTTTAGAACTATTAGGTCATCAAGATGAACCATGTTTTTTCTACACGTGTGATTTGTGCGTTTCACCGTAAATCAAACATCCAAACGGTGTCTAATAAGAAAAACCTCCCCCTCCAAAAAAAAGCTGCATGCATTTAAGATTTAACGTCCTCGCGGCCGCTACCTTTGTCCAGCCGTCCTTCAAGCCGGTCCAGAATGCTCAGGCTCTTGTCCAGCTGCTCTTTGACCGCCTCGCCCTTGTAGTAGTCGACCTCGCCGGCCTGCAGCAGCTCCTTGAAGGCCTTGCTCAGCTCGGCCAGCTGCCTTCGCTGCAGCGCTCCCAACCTGCGGCTCTCCTTCATCTGCTGCCTCAGCTGTGACAGCTCCCTGGCCTGCGACTGCACCAGAGAGTCCAGTCTGCCGGGACGTCGGAGCGGGAAAGAGGCATGTGAATCACGATGTGTGTGTTTTTTTTTTTTTTTAAATGACTGGAGTAACATTGATGATGCATTGAGCAGAGCGGCTGACCTTGCGGGTGATGTGGAGCGGCTGCGGGTCTGCTCGTGCTGCTCAGTCGTGCTTCTGTTCAGTGTCCTTTCTCTTTCCAGTTCCATATTCAGAGAGCTATTGTTCATCGCCTGGTTCTCACCCTCCTTTTTCTCCCCGAGCTGCCCACTTCTGTCCCCCGGCCGTGTCCCCTCTTGATCCTTGGCGGCTGAGGGATCAGAGGCGTTGGCAACGAGGTCGCTGCAGACAGACGTCCTGCGCAGAAGACTTTGCATTTGGAGGATGAGTTTGGTCTGGTTTTCCAGCTGGACCTTGAGCTCTCTGACCTGTGCCTGGAGCTGCAGAGGGTCCTTAGAAACACCGTACTCGTCGTAGACCAGCAGGCTTTTCAGACTGACCTGGAAACAGACAAGGCAGCGTTAATAGCCGGATGCTGCAAAAACATGACATCCTCACCAGCTAATGATTAGAAGATGGGCAAATAGAGAGCTAGTAGTCCTTGAATCACAAGTAGGATAAAGAAAGATGTAAGATTGGACTGTTGTTTTGTCTGATTATGTAATTTAATATTTTATTTAACCCGGACCAACAAGTTGAATACCTTGGCTGAGCTGAGAGCCGGGGAACTTGGGTACGGGGTGCTGGAGGTGGAGTCCAGGTTCTCAGTAGAGGAGAAGGTGGCCTGCTCGTGTCGGGAAGGCAGGCTAGAGGCGCTGCGACTAGGGTTCACACCAGCCTCTAGATCTGGCAACACAGTGTACACAGAACCAATCAGCTAGAGAACAGGGGAAGAACAACAACAACAACTGTTGATTTAGCCATGTGAGGAAACAAATCATTTGAGATGCAGCCGAACGGTGAAATAAGACGGGGACTATAAGTGAAATGTTAATGAGTGCTCAAAAGACATTTGCAAACCTCGGGGTGGAAACATGCAAGAATTTGTCGGTGCAACACATTGACAGACCATTCAAATCAGGGAGCGGTGCAGAGAAATACCAAGTTAAAACCAGTAGTAGAGGGTGTGGTTATGAGACCCAAACAGAAACACCTCCCAAGATCAGAGACAGTGGGTTACAGTTGCCCCCTGTTCGCTCCTCATGCAGACAAATAGAGAGAATCTATCCACATTAGTGTCCACTCAGCAGTCTACCTGTGCTACTGCTCTCTTCCCTATCGTTCTCACTCTTGCCACTGGTTTCGTAACCCAGGTCCTGCAAATCCACCTGCACGCCTTTGTCATCCTGCTCCAGAGCTGGCATTGGGGGCAATATATTTCGGGTTAGGAAGAAATCATTTAAGGTGTACAGTGTCTCGTCTCTCTCCTCCGTGGTGCTCATGATCCATTTGGATTCAACTAAAACACATTCATGCCTTTTCACAGAATCACATAAACAATTTAAATGCTTGAAGCAATGAAGCAAACAGCTCAGCATGCGCGCTCACCTTTCCGCGAGGTTTCAGGGGAGGTTAGAGCCGTGGCCAGTTTCTCCTCTAGGCTTTTACACGTTTTCCTCTTCTCCCTCAGCGCTTTATGGAGGGTCTCCAGTTCAACCTGGACACTGGGTGGTAATCCCATGGCATCCTGCGCTGTCGGCTGGACCTCACTCTCCTCCCTGCGGCCCCGGTCTTCTTGCAGGGAGGCCTGGAGGTCACAGATCCTCTGGTGGTGATCGTTGAAGACCTTGTAGAGGCGGCACAGGTTGCCGTGGAGCCCTTGGGGAAGTTGCCCGTCCGATGACAGATTGCCACCGGGTTTGGCGGCTTCTCCCAGATCCCGCCTCTCTTGCAGGGCTCTCTGAAGTTTGTCTAAATTCATCTGGAACTCCAGATTGGTCTGTGATGATCGATCAGAAGCCCGGCAGCTGGTGTTCGTACAGTGTGCCGTCAGAGAAGAAACGGCCGACTCTGCGGAGCCGAGGCAGTTCATCAGGACCGTGGTAATCTCCTGGTTTATATAACTACCCGTTCCACCTTCACTGTCCAGTGCTTCCCTTTCCGGAAGTGACCCTTCCGCTATCGGCCTCGACCGTTCACCCTCCTGGTCATTGCTGTAGACGTGTTGAGCGGCAGCATCTGCAGCCCTGAGTTTTTCCTGCAGCTCCGCATTAAGCCTATTATGCTGCCACAGCGCCTCCTGCAAAGAGTCGCTGTGTCGCTGCAGCTCCTGCATCGAGCCCTCTGTGCTACCGGAACCACCTCTCGGACTCTCCCTTTTGGAGGACGCGCTCACCTCCTGCAAGGCCGCCTCTATCTTCAAACATAAATCACTGATTCCTGGAATCCTTTCTTGGCTGTTGGTGGAGGTGATAGCTTTCCCTGCCATGTCCAGAAGCTCTAAAAGCTGCTTGTTGAGCTCCTCCTTCTCCTGCAGGGCCTTTTGCAGCTCCATGCATCTGCTGTGAACGGCAGAATCAGAACCTGAAGATGGACTGGACCCAAATCGCCCCTGGCTGTCCAGACTGCAGGCGGTCAAGTAAGCGATGGTGGACTCTGCGGCCTGCAGGGCCTCCACGTACATGCGAATGAGCCGGTCCTTTTCCTGGTTCTGAGCGTGGAGCTCCTCCCAGTTGGCAAGCTGCTCGCTTAGGTTATTGATCAAGGTCTCTTTCTCCTGACACTCCTGGTGGAGAAGCTCAAGCTGAGTGAAAAGAGCAGAGTCGGCCCGTGTGTGATCCGGTGTTGTTCCGCCTTCAGAGTTCTTGTCCGACCCCTCTGGACTGCCGACGGGTCGTGCATTGCTGAGGGTGGAAGACTGGGAAGTGCTGTGCTGGGGGGACGCGGTGGAGTCTTCCTGCAGTAGCTGGTCTGACCCGTATACTCCGTCCAAAGGAAGGTCCTGAAGTCCATCAGTTTTGCTCACAAACGGCGTGCTGCTGCTGGACTCCACCCTCGGCCTCACAGGGACCGGGAGGCGAGATTTGGCGCCATCCTACAATTGGAATCAAATGGAACCCGTATTACTGACCGTTATCTTGACGCTGGAAGCAATGTAGTGTCTCAATACAAAACTCACCCCATGCCTGGCAACATGCTGCTTGGTAATCTTGCTGTGTGACTGGCCTTTAGTTTGTGGATCCTTCATCCCCTCTGTGGGGCTGACAATTAGCTCAGTGGGGACACGGGTCTCCCCATCCGGCACCTCCGGAGAGCTCTTCTCTCCCTTTTCCTTTGACTGATTGATGACCTTGGAGCGCCTTTTCCATTCAGCCTGTCCATCACTGCTGTTGCCCGAGGCATCTGTGCTCTCTTTCTCTTTACACTCGGTAGATTTTTGTTCTTTCAGAAGACCTCGCAGCTCCATATTATCCGATCTAAGTGCGAGCAACTCGTCTCTGCAGTGAGGGGAAAATTGATCAGTTTAGTGTTCAAACAATTGATTCTTGGAGTGAAAATAAGGTGAAGTTTTTCCACACAGCTAAAGGAAAGACCCACCTAAGTTGCAAGACTGATGTGGCCCCACAATGAGTAAGCAGGGATTTAAGGGCCATTGCATCCAGGTTCCTCTGCCTAGAATCTCCCCCTCCAGACTCCACGGTGTTGTTGCCAGACTGAGCATGCTCTCTGATCAGGCCAAGGCCACTGTCCATACTCACATCCCCCAACAGTTTTCCAGACACCATCTTAAAAAGGATAGTTTAGATAAATTGGTTCCATGAAAATTTCCCAAAAGCAATTAATTGAAATTGTTTAATTCATACCTGTCCTAGTTTGATGTCTGTCTGACTCTCTTTGTCCTGTCCAGAGGGATGCGTCCTGTCGACGTGAGCCACAGGCGGCATCTCCTGTGTCCTCAGCTCCTGCTGCTGAGTAATGGGATGGGAGGCGAGTGTGACACACATGACTCGGTAAAAGAAAACTTAATGTGGGAACAGAAGCCATAAGACACTGAAAAGCAACAGCAGAATGGTATGACGTGTCTAATGTGGCATGGCAAAGATAGAGCATTTCATGGGACACAGGGATAAAAAAACAAACAAAAAAACAAAACACAGGGACGGATTAGGAAAGGTGAAGGAGAAAAAGAGGATCTTCTACTAAAGATAAGAAAGACATAGACATTAGTAACAGGCTGGATAGAGCAACGGTTAAGATGTAGGTTCAAAGGTTAGAAAGGAGCTAACGTAGGTGGGTGTTAAGACAATGGCTCAGACATGGTCAGAGTGTTTGTGGGCATACTGTACATTTGCTGATAAATGACTGAAAAGTGCCACTCTAGGAATAATCTTTTGCGGCCCAGCTTCGAGTACAACGTCCTCCATTGGCGGTCTAACCTGTTTCAAGGGGCTTCTGCCGGCCACGTCTTTCTCTTCGTTGTCATAAGCGCCATCGTCTGACCTCTCCAATAACGACAGCCGGTTCTGCAGCTCGTTGTTTACAGTTTGCAGCCTGCTGACACAATCCTGGAGCTCCTGCACCTACGGGCCAAATGGCTTTTAGTAATTGTCTTGTTTTTTGTTTTTTTTGTATGATAGATTAATTTTTTTATGCAAAATGGCTCAAATCTACCGTTATATTCAGAAGAGAAATTATTATTTTGTTTCACATTTCATTTAGTGTGAAAAGGACCTCACCTTCTGCCTGAGCTCCTGTGCAGAAAGTAGAGCCAAGCCGTCATCCTGCCCGTCGACTATACAGATACTCATGTAGGAAGTCTGATCCCCGATGAAACTCAAAGTGTCACCTGGAAGATATTTGACTGGCCTGAAGCAAATAGACTCCCATCTACCAGAGCTGTGAAATAAGAGTAAAATATATTTCATAATCTTACCACCGTCATTAGCTCCACCAACCCCTCCTCCACGGTTCTGAATGGCTCCTAAGCGAGCTTGCAGGGAGGCATTCCAGCGCTGTGCATCTTCCAGCTGATGTCTCATGCTCTGCAGTTCTTTAGGGTCAATCCGGTCCATACCTGCACACATACACAGAGGGTCACACAAACACATCATCTGACAAAAAAGCATATTTCTGCGTAGGTAGTGATCTGCAGGACCGCTCCTGACCAAACATTGTTTAACAAGGGTTTCTCTGCTGCACAAGGGGTTGTTAGGACTGATTTTCATAACAATAAAAACACAGTTTGCTTAGGTAGGAGGCACATATTCCACATGACATGCAGCTTTGGAGGATAACTCCAAAAGGCAATTTCAAATTTGTTATGTGTTTGTGCAAAACGTTTTGATGAAATGTGGTGCAATTAAAAAACTTGATTCACAGAAAACATTAGCAAAAAAATTAAAACTAGTGCAAATATGATAAATGCATAATTACACTGTACATCTTTGTTTTTGTTTAGTTTAAACTAAACCAGTAAATCTTTTTACATTTAGGAACTTACTAAAACCCCCATGATTGTAAGTGGAGGAACGTAACCAAAAGCCAAACTGTGTGAAGAGAGGTTTGATATCTGCTGCCACAGAAACACGTCCAAAATATAGCGATAAATAATAAAATCACATGTTTTGTGTGCAAGTACTGTATAATGAATATAGAACACGATCTTCTCATTGCTAATTACTGCAGCTGCATCTGTCTTCAATGTAAGCCATGAGCCTGTTATTCACCGCTGACCTATTTATACACATGCTCTATTCACACAGAGGCGGGGCTCAGCGTGCACATGACATGCAGACACATGAATGTGAACCGTTGCTGGAGTCATTCGGCTTAGACGACTACCTGAGCTCACTGTGACACGTTTAATTAGTCTGCCACTGATCTTACTAACTGTGATAAGTTACAACTATGTGATGTCATGAGATAACAATTGATCCATGCAATGTAATACCCCCGTTATAACTGTTATATAATTAGATGCTTTTGCATTGAAATCTAAATTATGTGACAGATGGTTGGAAGGGTTTAATTAATAAACAGAGGGGTGTTGGAGAGATGATGCAATCAACAGACAGCAATGCTTTAATGGGACAATGAAAACAAGCAGACAGCGAGTTGAAAGTGAAAGACAGGGTGCAAACAGTAGCCTTTATTCACAGATATAATATATATGTAAATATAAATATATATTTACATATATATTGAAAAAAAGGACAGTGTGAAGTGAATACATTTAAGAAGTGACAGGAGGCAACTATTTTATGGACAAAGCATGCAGATGAGGAGGTGATGATGTAAAGAGGAGTAAACATAAAGAAGAGAAGTGGAAGGACCAGGTGTTCATGCTGAATGAAGTGACAGCTAAAGAAGAGGGGGGGAGGGGAGGGTGTAAGCCTGTCAGCAGGAGATATTATTAGAGTAAACACAGCGGACAAACCGGACAGGTGTGTTTAGGGCTGTACGATAATTCAACGTGATGGTTCACCTCAATTGAATTATATTGTGATAAAATCATACAGTATATCATGGCATCATAATACACAACTGCATCGTCTTCATTGATCAAAACAAGCACGTCTGAAGTAAAGATTGAAGATAATTCAGCTTACCCCCCTGTATAACAACTACTATGTTACGGTATTGCTGCCGTACCATGTTATTTCACTCATTTATTGAGTTAGCAGGAAACGTGCTGCATCATGATAAATATGGTTTCTGGACATATGAAATGACCTCTATTGAGAGGGACTTTGGCCATATCACCCAGCCCTCAGTGTAATTTTGTATGTTCCCTCTAGGACCTACGGACCTATGCCTGCCTGAGCTTTAGTTTCTTAACTAGAAATAGAAACTTAAATGACAAACATGCTCATCCCATTGATCATCTTTTATTCAGTTACCCTCGTCATTTGCCAGCCAATGAGTTTGCACCGCACCTTCTCGGAGTTTGGCTTGGCGAATCTCTCTCTCCAAGTCGTCCCTCAGCCCCTCATTAGTTCTGATGCCCTCCTCTAGCTGCTGCCTGAGCAGCTGCACCGCTGTCAGCTCCAGCTGCAGAGCATGGAGACGCTGGGCGCTGCAAAGGGAATAGGCTACTCAGAATAATCTTTTTGTTTTCTAACAAATAGCAATGATTCCTTTGTCACAACCATACCTGTCCTGCTCCTTTACAGTCCTGACCAGGCTGGAGTACAGCTGCTGTTCGGCTCTTAGTGCTTTGTTCAGAGCATCTTTCTCCTGTTGCTCCTGGAAACAGAAAATTAAAGAGAAATGGTCTTAAAACATGCTGTTTACTTTTCTTTTATTCGAAAAAAAAGTGGGTAATGCATTTAGTTTACTTCTTGCTGGCTGTCTCCACCAATTATGGTCCTCTCTCTCTGAGGGAGACCCGGGAGTGATCTCTCCAGGCTACAGCCAATGACCTGATCCTGGGTGTGCTTGGCCCGACTGTCCCCTCCGTGGCCGAGGCGCTGGTGGAGAACCTGCTCAAATCAAGAATTAGGAATCAGGAAACATTTATTTACCAAAATATGTCAAACATACAAGGAATTTGTCTTGGCGGTTGGTGCGCGACTGTAGACAGACAAGACAACAGTGCACAAGTAATAAAATAAAGTAAAATGAAATGCTAATGCAATGGGTTAGTAGAATAAGGCCATGGGTTAGTATAAAACAAGGGAATAAAGTTAAAAATGTTAAATATTAAAAAAGTTAAAAAGAAAAATATTAAGCATAAAGTGCACTAACGAACAAGTAACAGACAAGTAACAAACGGAACATGAGAACTGCTAGACAGGCTGCCGAGTTGATTGCATTCAGAATAAAAGCTCCTCATTCACTGAGCGATAGGAGCTTGACTGCGTGAATTGGGGAGCCCTTACATCGATAATCTCATCCTTGGTCTTCAGAGTGGCGGTCAGAGACTCGATGTTAGCAGCCTGCCCTTCATATTGACCCTCCAGTTCAGATAGCAATGACTGGAGCTCTGCCAAAGAAATCTGGATATACAGAAATTGAGGTGAATGATTGCACAAGAAGAGACTTGTTTGCCTGTGTCCCGGTTAAGAACCAAGTAGAATGTTTATAACCAACTGACCTTCAGTTCATTCTCCCTCTTCAGTGCCTCGGTTTTCTGCGCCAGCTCCTTTTTCAAGATGACGACTGTTTTCTTAGAGGTCAGAATAGGTTCTGCATTATCCTCACTGGCCGGCCTGGAAAGCTCAGCTTCAAAGCAGACAAAATCAAATCAATTCAGGGATCCAAATGTATTGTCCGGTGAGAGTGAAGAGAACTGTGAAGAACTCACCTTCATTCCCGTCCAACTTGTCCTGCAAGATCTGTATAGTTTGTCTGAGCGCCAACACATGATCCCCCTCCGCTTTCTGCCTCTCCTCCCTCTCCTGACCAGTCTGCACAAGTTTCTGCACATTAAAAAGACAACAACTTAAATGTTAAATGTTAAAAAGGCCACCGAGTCATTTGAAGAGGAAATCAGTCTTGCTCCTGCCTTTCTATTTCCTCTCCTTCTAAGTTGAGCACATTTTCCAGCTGAGTGACTGTGTTGTACCCCAGAGGAACTCACGTTGATCATGCTGTCTTTCTCAGCAAGCAGGGCTCGGAGCTCGGCTGCCTCTGAATAACCCTCCTGGGCCGATGTAAAGCTTTGCTTCTCGGCAGTGACAAGCTGCTGCTGCCTGTCGGACAGCTGCTTCTTCAGTTGCAGAATCTCCTGGGTGCGCTCAGACAGCATGCGGTTGTAGTGCTCTGCAGACTCCTGGAGAGGAAGAACGAACCGATGAAATGAACGACTTAGTTTATACGTTGGTCAAACATGTTAAAATGTAAAGCATTTTTTGAAATTCATCTGAATATGCATAAGCCTACTCTGCATGGATATTGTAATTTATTCTAAAAATATATTCTCATTCATGTTATTCTGTCACTATTTGTTGTGTCCCTGTGTAATCCCCAAGGCAGAAACATGTCTTCATAATAGATGTTGACCTTGATGAGCTGATCCTTGCTGCTGATTGTAGCCAACAGGCCTTCCACAGCACTCTCATTGTCAGCAACCAGCCTTTCTCTTGCCTTCACAGCCTCGGCCAGCATCGCTTCGGTGACCTTTAACCTCTGGCCCATCTGTTCAGCGAGGTCACGCGTGTGAGTCTGCGACTGGCTCAGCGCTGATTCGGCCATTTCCTACAAACAAAGGTTGTCCGAGTTAGGAAGGCTCAGAGGTGTCTGTTCATGTACATATTTACACAGCAACTTACCTCCATATCCTTCGTCTTGCCCTCCAGGGAGAGCTGCAGCTGGCTAATGATGGAGTCCTTCTCCCTCAGGGATCTGTTCAAGTTGTCTTCTACATCCTGCTTAGCTCTCTGCAGGTTCTTTAGCGTGTTTGCAAGATGCTGCAGCTCGACGTCCTTCTCCTTGATCAGACTGTCAAAACTCTGGAAGGAGAGAAATGAGCACAGAGATTCCTTGGATTGAAGTCTGACCTTCTAGAACGTTTTCATTATTGATTAATGGAAAATGAAAATGTATGCACAGTATAAAATACTTTTCACAATCTAAATATGATCCCTCCTTCTTACATTGAGGGTTTCCTCGTTGTGAGAGATCAAGTTATTGAGCCTATCGAGGTCCCTCTCCTTCTCTCTGAGGGACAGCTGCAGCTGGTGAATCTCATTGTCTTTCTCCTCAATGGCAGCAAACTTCTCATCCAGCGCTTGCTGCGCGAAGGCAAAGACAACAATGTCAAAATGGAGTTATAGTCGCTATGGTGAGAAGATGAAAGAGAAGGAATGCAAACCTCGAGAGCCTTTTCTTTTTCTTTCAGCCTATGCCGCAGCTTGGAAAGCATATTGTCATTTCCTCCTGGACTTTTACTCTGCTCGAAGTCTCCAACCATGTTGATGTACTCCTGATGAACAGACAATAGAAACGGTGTCAAAGCAACTTCCTGCATATATCCCATGGAAGATTTGAAATGGTGAGAAAAGTGGTTAGTTTGAGAAGAGAAGAGCCAGCCAATGGGCCCTGCTCACATTCACTAACATGCACCAAAATGCATCTGTGGTCGTATGTAAACAAAGCACAGCAAAGCTTAAATTACACCCTGAGGAAGAACGGCTTAGTTCTCGGTTCAGGTAGACATACTATACAATATTGTATACGGAAATCGTTCTATTCACACAAAAACCTTGGGGGGAATGAATCTGTGGTTATATGTTCAATGTTCTTGCATCACCTGTAACTGCTGTTCTTTGTCGGCCAGAGTGGAAGTGAGCCGCTGGATGGTGACCTCGTGGGTCTGCAGTTTTCTTTTGGTCTGATCCAGCAGCTCCTGGTATTGCTGCTCTAGAGCACTCTCCCTGTCTCCGATCTCAGCGCTCAGCTTCTTGAGCTGATTGTTCAGATCCTGGGGGGGAGGGGGTGATATTACTGTCACACAAACTGAGATTTTAAACCAAAAAACAGGATTGAAAATGCCCCATTGCTCTATTCTGAGACAATAATTCAAGTGTTATTTGAAAATATCCAATAAAACTCTGCCTTACATTCAGGGCCTTGTCTCCTTTCTTCTTCTGCTGCTGCAGGTCCTCCAGTTCCACCTCTAGCTGGTCCTTCGCCTGCAGCAAGTCAACCAGCTCTTGCTCCTTCCTGTCGAGGCCACGTTGTAGCTTTTGGGCTTCGAGCAACTTGGCATGATGATCCCCTTGGAGCTGGGCAAGCTCGGTTTGCGTTGCCATTAATAGATTTTGGTGTTCCTCCACTCCCTGAGGGATGTACGCATAAAATGTCTTTACAGAGGCAGCAATAGGGATTTGTCAATGAGATGGATGATTAAAAACCCCTTTGCTTTGCTGCCTCTTTAACATTAGATAATGTCTGAAAGGTACAGGTAAAAACAGAATGAGGAACCACTGATATCATTATATAGTCGAGGGGTTGGCTCTATAAAGTTAAACTCCCTCTGAAGTGCAGGACTTGCCTGGTATTTCTGCAGCTGGGCCTTGTGTGCTGCCTCCCGAGCCTTGGCCAAAGCGTCATCCCTGTCCTCAATCTCATGACACAGCTCTGCAATCTGTGCAACCGAGGAAAAGACAGACAGGTAGTACAGCTTTGTATATCACTGAAGAGTGATAGAACATTTGTCTTGTTATAGATAACAACAAATGTACGACACCCATGATAATATGGTATATACGTTGACAGTATAACCCTTACCTGATTTTCCTTTTCTTTGAAGACCTGAGTAAGCCCCTGGATAGTTTTGTCTCGCTTTAGAGCATTTTTCTTCTCAGAGTTGAGTTCATTCTCCTTCTCCTCCAACCTACCCAACAGGGTCTGTTTGCACAAAGAAGTGGACTTAAGCAAAGAAACCTCTCCATCTAATTCATAAGGATTCAAAAGAGACTAAATGTCCTCTCCGTGCACCTTGTTTTGGTTCTGGATTTCCTCCAGTGTTTTAGACAGGTCTGCATTGTTGCTTTTGATGTGGGTGAGCTCTTCAGTCAGCTGCTTGTTGCAGCTCTCCACTCGCCTAACCTCACTCTGCAAATCCACACAGAAAGACGAAATAGATCAACAGAAGCAATATTAAACAGCAAAGCTGCTGTCTGTCTCGGATCATTGCCAATACGATAACATTTTGCCCAGCTAGGATTACGGAGGGAAAAAAACAACAACTACCTCCACCACTTTGACAGGGATGAATTCATCATCAAATTCCTCTGTAAGATCGTGCAGAGACTTGCACTTTGCTTCTCTGTATCTGTGCTTTGTTCGAGGGTTCGAGCCTCTATTCAACCCCTTCAGCACAGGGATGTGGCTCCCTGCAGGGGAAGAGACTTGTTGCTTGGAGAGGCAGCGCAGGAGCTGAACTAGGTCAGAGATCACAGAAGGCTTACTCGGCGAACTGCGGAGCAGCGCTCTGGCCTGAACCTTTCCTTCCGGGTCACCAAGGGCGCCGTGTCTCGCAACAAACACCTTGGGCTCTCTGAGTTTTGGTGTGGGTGGAGGTCCTGGAGGAGCGTCTGAGGAAAGGTCTCTATTGAGGCACTGCAGGGAAGTGGAGCGACCTTTGGATCCGGGTCTAGCCAGAGAGCCCTTGCGTTGGACCAGGTCAAGGTACATGCTTTGCGAATGTTGCCGTGTGCCTCGGAGACCAAAGCTCTTCATAGAGCAATTGAGCCCCGCCGCCGACCCCAACCCCATCGCTGATCCCAGCCCTGCCGCAGATCCCAGCCGGCAGCTGCCCCGGAGGCTCAACCGCCCTGGAAATGCCCCTTTACTAACAATTCGGTCCAGACTCACGCACCTTCTCATGCGGTTTTCCGTGAGACCACTTCCACTCTCCCTGAACACCGGTCCCTCAGAGGCCAGACGACACACGGCCTCATCATCGGGACTTCCCTCCCCAGAGGACCTGAGCGGGGTCTTGCGACTGGTGCCTTCCAAAGACCCCTTGTACAGGTTTGGGTTGTTTTTGTTGTAGACGTGGACGATGCACTGGACCAGGTGGTCTTTCTCCGCCTGCATCTTCTGGATCTGGCTGTTGAGTTTATCCTGCAGCTGGCTGATGTTAACATCCGAGTGCACCACCTTCTCCAGCTGGAACGCACATTTGCCACAGAGGAACTCTCCTTGACCGTCACGGGTCACCTCCCAGCCCAGCACGTGGGACAAGATGACCTGTAGCTTCCTTTGTGCCGATGAGCTGAAGATCCAGCGACACTGGCTTCCCACCAGACGCACACCACAAATACGACACGGGTCCCGCATGGCACCTCCAGGTCTTTAGACACCTTCTTAGAACGAGTCCAACGGGTCTGACTTAATGGTCTTCAGCCTGCCAAATGGGGAAGAGCTATCTATCGGTGTCTCTCACTCCATCAGCAGGAGAAGCACAGAGGAGAATGACTGAGTGCAGAGCAGCATAAGCCCTAAGCCTTCAGTAATCCCTGCTCCCGCCTCTATTCCACTCTCCCCCACGCATTCAATCAGAACAAATCCCCCAGGACTGCCGCACTGATCTCTGTCATGGTCGGTGCCAGACCATCTCTAGAAGACCTCCTCTTGAATATTAAATCAGGTATGAAGGTGAGCCCCAAACCGGTGCTTCTCTTGTGAAGATGGAAGTTGTCAATGACTCCTGCAGACTCGATCCTGCCTGGCGATGCTTCTACAAACCTGCTTTAAGATTAGCAGAGGTGTTTTCGGGCAATCACATTCCATTACACCTCTATCCTGGAGAGGCCAATGCAAGACATGTCATTTCACAAAAACGGCCCACAATCCATTCAAAAATAGATTTCCAATCCGCGAGGCGGCATATTCGTCTCACCCATATCTGGCAAACACTGCCACGTTGGGCCATTTCCCCTCGTAATTAAAGAAGGATGGACATAAATACCTCTCGGACAGACTCTCCAGACAGCGTGGTAATCCAGTCTTAACACCGTTGCCTGAGTCCAGACCCCCCGAGGAACCACAGAGCCTGTCCAACTACGAGTTTTCTGTCAGTCCAATCAATGCAGTTCACGTCTGATGTTAGGGATATACGTCTTAATATTCAGCTCCCAAACCCACAGAATGTGAAAACATATCGCTGTTGATGAGAAAATAACTAAAAGGATAATCCTCTAATAAAGGTTTAGTGTCATTGACGGGATCATGGGAAATTTAGAGATTATGCAATAGGTCACACAGATCAAATCTAATGTCGGGGAAACAAGTGATGACCAAAAATAACTCATAACAAACTCCTTTCAATGAGCTGTTACGATCATGAGAACATCAAGACGACAACAACAAACCAGAGGACACCTCGCATTTACTGAAGCAGGGTACAAAAATAAAAAACGCACCAGAAGGCACACAGACGAATAAAGCAAGTCAGAAAATACACAAAGTACATTTCCTGTGGTTCAGCAGAAGCACACTCCTCTGAAGCGCTTTAACAAAGAGGGCGGCGCCTCAGTGCATCTGCTGGGCTGCTAATGGCTCGTCACATTTAGGCACAGTTAAATGGGTTCAGAACTATTGCTGGAAAACGGATATCAAAAAATGACAAAGTAGTCTGATGGTGGGCAAGACGGACTCGACCACAACAGGTCTGAAAAACATGGATCGGTGAAAAGGATCCTAAAAAGAAGACCACTTAATGAGGAAGACCCCCACAACACCAACCTGAAGGTCCGGTGTTGTTTTGTCCTTCTGTCGATGGAGCTCGTCCCTCAGCGCCTGGAAAACACACAGTCACTTTTAATATTGCAAATAGTGCTGAAAGAAGGTTTCAGTTATTTAGATGCCAGCAAAGAATTTTATTTCTATAGTATTTTGTCACAGTTGAGTTCAAATAATTTGATACGTTTTGGTATAATTGCAGCATAAATGACACGTGACTTACCTCAAACTCCTGATCTTTCTTGGCAATGAGATCCGACAGCTGTTTAACACAGTCAGCTGACGGCGCATCAGCCGCTTGATCTGCACTTTGCTTCTGATAGATCACAGCTTCCTGGTTCTTCAATGTGATCTTGAGCTGCTCAATGATACTGGTTTAAACAAAAAAAAAAATGTCGGAATAATTTAGACCCCAATATATATACATAGCCTATAAAAATATATATTGACGTGTGCGCTTATCTGATGTGTCCCTACTTGTCTTTCTCCTGCAGGGCCAGCTGCAGGTCGTGGACGGGGCCGGGGACAGGGACAGGGTTAAAGGTGCTCGGCGGACCGAGTGCTTGGAGCCTCTTCTCCATGTTAATATTCCTGAGCTTCTCCTGCTCAGCGATGGCTGCCATCTTGTCGACCTCTTCCTCCGCGGTTTGTAAGGACTGAAATTGAGGCAGAAAGCGAATCAGCCCCAACTGCTTGGCGGGAAACAGAAAATGAAAGTAAATATTAAAGACTCACGTGTTCTAGATCAGTTATTCTCTTGTTGAATGCATCTCGGAGTGCATCCATCTCTCGCCGAGCTTGCTCTCTCACACGCTGGGGTTCTCCAGATTCTCGACCAGCGAGACTCTCCAAGGCTTTGCTGTGGACGATTAGGTTAAAGCTTATATACATTGTAACCACTGGGCTTCCATGGCATCTTCCTGATGTGTCGAGTACTGAACTGCAGAAGAGAGGGAATATAAGGAACAAAACTCACGATGCAGACACAAGCAGCTCCTGTTTCTCGGCCAGGTCTCGCTTCATGGACTCCAACTCCACCTTCAGCTCAATGTTCTACGAGCAGACAACATTCAGTGTTATGGGACAAACTTCACATCTGGAGTGGGGCTGGACAATGTAGGGACAATTCAATATCACAATATCTTCGTTTATGCCATTATATCAAGAATTCACACAACAGCAACAGATTCCATTGTTCTTACATCTCCCTCATAAAATTAACCAAATCCACAAACAGGAAAGACAGCTGTTCTGAGATCATAAATGGGTTATTGCTTGAACCAAATACAGCTGTTGTTGTGGCTGAAGTTGTGATCTCAGCTGGTCCCGCTGGTAATCAATGAGTCACGTTGAACAAAGACAAAATACTTTTACAAATGTTAGCGAAAGAACGTAAATTCAACACCGTTTTGAAAATGTCCTCGGTGGAGTCGTCACATTTCTGCTGCATGCGCTCCTCCATGAAGTAGATGCGCAGCTTCAGGTTAAAGTTCTCTTTCTTCAGTGCTGTGATTTGCTGCAGATATTTAATTTAAAAAAACAGAAATTTTAATGAAAACTGAAAATAACTGAACAATATATAAGCGCTTATTAAAAAAGTTTCTTCAAAACATTTGAGTCTCTTCAGGGGCCCAAATTAAATGTACTTCATTCAATGACAATGATCAAGTTTAAAAACAGCAGTCAGGCACTTTATCAGAGGAGAAAAGCGTGACAGCATTTTTACATAACAGAAAGGTTGTGTGCGTGTGTGGTTTTTGTTGAAATGAAGGGAGGCCTTCATACATGTGTGTGTGTGTGTTTGAGTGCACATGTGTGCAAAGATGACTGTGCATCACTGTGCTGCAGGCTCAGAACAAAATACATCTGGTAATGGGGGCTGGGTAGACTGTCAAAGGGAGGAGGTGGGGGTCTGAATCCCTCTGGGAAACTACAATTATGAAGCGAGCCGAGCAGCACGAGCCAAAGAAAATGGGAGCATGCATTCCACTCAAAAGCTGAAATATAGGCTTCACCTCAGACCTATTCCAACACACACACACACACACACACACACACACACACACACACACACACACACACACACACACACACACACACACACACACACACACACACACACACTTCATTAGGAGATTTCCATAAATGGTCAGTCAGACTTAGTTTTAGACAGGCTGAGGATCAGGTTTAATAAATCACATTACCCTGTTTTGTTGTGGTGCGTAACCTCATATGGACACGCTTTGTTTCAATGAATTAATAGCACCGATCAACCGATTAGAAAGGACTTATTACCATAAAATGTTATATAAAGTTGGATTTGGAAGAAGAAGAAAACATTGAATCGGTACATAGCAAATCCAAATGAAGAAACATCATGCCGTTTGATTGAAATGACTCACGTTCTCATAGTCCTTCATGGTGAGAGCTTTGATCGGGGACATTTTGTCAGGGAAGGATGGAGCTGTAAAACAACAAAGTGATACATTTTCATTATTTGGCACGCACACAACGTGCCGTGTTCTCAAAGGTGTAGAGACTCTTCCCTGCTAACAAACATAATGTTATAATAAGAATTCTCTCTCCCGGTTCTCAGGAATGTTTACTTCAGAGGGATAAAGAGAAAGCAGAGGGGCTTTTGGCTGCGGGGACGTCTGAGGTGAGACGGCTGCTGGCGCGCTGCCCGGCTCAGGCCAGCTGAAAGCGGCCCACAGCTGATCCCGTAACACTTCTCAACGCGCCTCACAGCATCGACTCCAGATGCACATTCACGGCTCGACGAGAAGAGCTACGTCACAGCTCAAGCTCGGGAGCAGGAGTCGCTTGTTTATGTGCATTCCCTTTCTAAATTTAGGAAAAAAAACAGTTGTATTGGTTTCGCTCGTTGCCTTCTGTGTATGACCCACCGACGAAAACATTAGAATAGAGCTGGATAGCAAATTCTTTGATTAACGTGTAATTCTGGTTATTGACCGCTCGGGCATTTCCCCACACGGCCGACTGGGCAGAACGCCACGGACACTGACCCACATCTAGGAACCGCTTGGTTAATGTGTTTGTTGCAGCTCTGGGTGTATTGTTGTCAAACTACGAAAACTGCACCACAAGAATTAAAAACAGGATTACCTAATTAGCATCATGCAGCTAATCCCCCCATCACAGCTTTGGGGACCCACCAGTGGGAGGTCACGGCAACGGCTCCACAGCAGAAATAATGAACACACAGGGGAGCCTCGAGCTGAGCGATGACAAAAACAAATAGAGAACAAAAGAAGGTCCCACTGTACCTGTCATGCTGTCTAAGGAATATTCTCCGGCGTCTATGGAGTCGGGCAGTCCGCAGCTGTGGACAAAGTCATTTCGTTAGCAGATTACCACACATATTTGGGAAAGGGGATCACCGGTACATTTCTGCCACACTCACAGAAGAAGACTCACAGCTTTTAATAATCACAAAGCAAGCGAGACCAAAGCAAGCCGTTCCATCATTTCTCATTGTGAGCGCGTACTCTGAACCCGATGCTCCGTGTTTGTGCATTACTCACGCTGGCCAGTTCAACTGAGCCCCAAGAATAATCCATAAATAGCTCAAGAATGACTCTCTGCTTCATTTACATCCACCGTGGCAGAGCGTCCTTTCAGTGTGTGCGTGTGCTTGTGGGTTTGTGTGAGAGCATGTGCCAGTGGCAGCATCGCTCTCGTGTTCAGACG